TTTTTAAAAAAAGATGTAAAATTGTGGGCCTTACTAGGTAATACTATTTGTTTGGGAAATTAAAGAAATAAAAAAGGGAAAGGTGGGTTTGAAGTTATCATCTTCAAAATAGTAATTTTTTTGTAAAATGGTCTTTTTTTTTTTTTCTTCAAGAGATGTGTGATGGCAAAAGAATTTATGATATTTCAGAAATGTGTTGATTGGTCCCATTTTTATCTTGTTTTTTTTCCATGTTGAAACATTGTCATTTTGTCCTATTGTTAGTTTGTTACTTGTTGGGTAACTAAAAAAAGATGTTTGTTACTTGTTGGGTAACTAAAAAAAGATGTTTGTTACTTGATGACTTTGGGGATTGGTAATTGAATATCACCGGGGCAAGTTTGTTACTTGATAACTTTGGGGATTGGTAATTGAATATAACTAGGATCTTTGCTACCCAAAGAAAAAAGGAATAAAAGAAGACATTATATAACATGACCCTTAATTTGGCTTTAATAGATAACATGACTTTTATTTTGAATATGTATAAGTAGACACTTAAATTAGTATAAAATTGAACAGTTAAACTTATTTGTTCTACATGACAATTTTGTATCCTACATGACTAACTATGTGTATCATGTCATGTTTTGGATATGTATTAATAGACACTTAAATTGGAATAAAATTGAATAGTTAGACTCATTTGTTCTACATGGCAATTTTGTGTCCTACGTGACTAACTATGTGTATCATGTCATGTAGGACACGTGTGTCTACTTGTTCAATTTTATGTAAATAATCGAACAGGAAATAATCGGACAAAAGCTTTCAACAAAAATCTCATTAACTAGGGTTCAGGTGATAATCAATGGCGGACCTACCCTTCGTCGAAGAATTACGTTGTATATAGTGATCAAATTTTTGTTTAATAAATATAAATACATAAATCGACACCTCTTGAAACAAATTTAAAAGGTATAGTCTATTGGTTAGGGACTCCATGAAGTCATGTGTTCAAGCCTTTACTAGTCTCATTATAACTTTTAATCACTATAACCGTTGATACCCCTTAATGAAAATCCTGCATACCATAGTCACAATAGTTGAGAAATTAGAACTCAGAGTAAAAAACACAAAGCAAATTCAAAATTCATGGAACCTTGGATAGTACCCTAAATTTATCTTTTATTGACTGAATTTAAATGTAGGGCATGAATACAAACTTAGTCCAACACTGTGAATAGCCCTGATATCTGATTGTAAAACTATTGGGTTGAAAAACTTTGGTGGAGACTTCATTTTCTAAAGCCTAAGGAAGAACACTAGCTTTCTTTGATGAAATCTTTTACTTTTTGCTTGATCTTGATAAAAGAAGCCCTTTGTGGAGTTCTTAGAGTGGAAGAGCTTGTGCAAATCTTGGATTGAAGGTTTCTCTTTATATTTTGAATTTTTGACATGGAAGATTTAGGGTTCTTGATGGAGAAGAGGAACCCTAAGTGAGTTTTTTGAGAAAAACATTTAGAAACTTGAATGCTTAGGTTGATGATTACGAGAGGACAACCAGTTAGTTGAATGATTTACTCATTTAAAACGCCCAAAAAAGACTTAAAATTGAGGTTAAAAAGCTCGGAAAAGGATCAAAGTAACCTTGGAACACCTGCATGAAGTTTCTGGAACCGTGGAACATTCCATCATCCGTAGTGTCGGCCATGAAACAACGAATGCATGACAAAGATTCACTGAAACAGGCATAACTTTTTACTCTCAACTCTCATTAATGTAAAATTGATGGAGTTGGAAAGAAGACTCATAAACCTTTTAGTTTGATAGGGTATGGGCCACCTAACTCTTCATATTTAAGAGATATGATTGTTTGAAGTTGACCTACGTGAAATCTTATATCGAAACTCAATCTGTAAGGAAACTTTCAACTCAACTTTGTGATAAATGGTTCTTATTACTTTAATTACTCTCCAAATCTATTTTCACCCTAAAGAATTGACCTTAACACCTAAGCACAACTATCACCTTATAGGACCTTATACGTGTATGAAGAATGGTTTGAGTCTTAGCTTAGAAATTTTCGAGGTGTTACAATTTTTCTTTGGGAAAAGCTACACAAATTAGACCTATTAGATGAAGTATATACCCAAATCAGACTCACGGTTTAAACTAATTACCCGACTCCCCTTTTATTCTACTTATTGAACCACTACTTCTTCATCTTGATACCATCAAGTATGATACAACTATATCAGATAATGCCCACTATTATTATGTGGGAAATGTGGAGTTCCAAATATGGGGTCAAATATGAAGATGAAGAACTCTCGATGCAGAAATCCACCACTTTGTTCAACCTCAATATCATCCAGCACTCAAAACTTCAGTTGCTAAAATTTCCTTCCCTGATGATTGGCCCAACTTTATCCACCTTTTGGGTCTTAAATTGATGGAGATCGTCTCTACTCCTGTCAAATGAGAAGAACTGCTACATTCTTTTGTCAAACTTAATATCGATGGTTCGTGCATAGAAGGAAATTGCGAAGGAGGAGGGATAGTGAGAGACAAGGAAAACAAGGTGATTATGGCGTTTTGTATACCTTTAGGGAGAGGCGATAACAACTATGCGGAAGCTAGTGCATTCTTGTTTGGTCTTAATGGGTGCATTCAAAACGGTCACTCTAGGATCATAGGGAAACTTATTCCCTCTTACTTCGAAATTGTATTCAGGCAACTGGGAAAGCCAATGGAAAATTGAAGACACAATTAGTGAGATCAAGTTTTTGTTGCACACTCACCATATTCATACCTCTCACTGCATGAAGGAAGCTAACAAGGTTGCCGACAAAGTAGCGTTCTTGAGTCACACGAGTGGAAACAATTGTATTTACACTAACTATAGCTCTTTACCTACACAAATCATAAGCCTAGGTAACATCGGCAAATGACAAATACCATCTTTTAGAGTCAGAAAGAGAAATCATAATGCTATCATCTTTGATCCGCCATGAAGAAACAATTCTATTGCCACTAGTGTCAGCCCAATCTTTTGCTAATTAGCCTTAAAGGCTAACAAATACAATATGCACAGAAGAAGGTCAGGCCTAGTCCTCCTTCTCCCTTTGTATTCTCTTTGACAGTGACAATACAATCATGACTCTTTTGTTAAAAAAAAAATAATGATACAACTATATTAAGTTAATTACTTTCCATTTATTCTAAGCTAGTTCTTGGGCACGTGCATTGCACGTGTTATCCAATGTCAATTGCTATCATAGAAAATAATCTTAATTTGCTTGCTTAACTCCTTAACTTTATTTTTCTATCACCACAATGATTGATTTCAAAACTAAAGATCTATTGAACTTTGATAAAAATGATAAAGAACAAATTTTAGAAATTAATTAAATAAAAATAATAAAGCAATATTGTATTTCATCTATAAAAAAAGCAATTATAATAAACTATAAAAAATGAACCAATTAAGTAAACTAACAAAATTAGTATACCGGAGAGATCAATTATCTAAGCTTTTGAAGCTTCCCTTTGAGTTTTTAAAAATAATTTTAGTGGCAATTTCAATTATTTTTTATTTCTTTCAAGAACAATAAATATATCTAGTATAATAAAATTACATTAACACTCTCATTTATCGATATTCATAATTATAATAAACTTCAAAATAATGATCTGCTAAACCTTAGTAAAAAATGACATGGAGCAAAATTTTAGAAATTTATTGAATTAAAATAACTAAGCAAGATATCATTTAAGACTCTTGACAAATACACTATATACCACTTCTTTAGTAGTGATAACATATTAAATTGTACACATTGTTTTTCATCTATAAATAATATAATCATAAGAAATTATATCAATTAATGAAAATTATAAAAATGTTTTCCAAAGAAACCACTCTTCTTTCTTTCATACCTCATGAATCTTGCTAATGTTGATGATGGAGATGGTAATCTTCATATATCATTCCATAAAGTTTGAATTTGGCGATTTTATGATTCTGATATATATTCATTAACTCTACATACTTCACTATCTTTTATTTCATGCAAATATTGCTTTAAATAAAAGGAGAAAATGATGAAAAAAAATTGAAAAACAAAAATTAAAGAAATCCTACTGAACTGAAATATGTCCATGAGGAAAATGAAAATAATTTTCTTTGATGTTCTTTAGGATTCCTTTAACAGATGTATTGATTATGTGTATTAAATTAAATCAGCCTATTTTTAATTACTATAGAACTTCTGAAATTCTGCAAAAGAAAAAAAATTATATTTTGCTGAAACAATAAATCAATCTTTAACACTTCATTAATGCATTATGCATAGGACATGTAGCATTTCTTATTTATAGTAAAAGTTATTTTTTTAATGGTTATTTATCAATTAGTAATGACTTTCCAACTTCTTCATTGTTTATCACATAGAAATAAAGTTCCATCTTCTTTCTCATCTAAAAATTCATGATTTTTGATAATGTAATACAGATGAAATAGATACATGAACTCTCTAGTTTCACATTTAATTTTTTTTTTCAGTTTTGTTATTTTTTATCTCTAGTTCCGCATTTAAATAATTTGATGTGTTATAACATTTTAATTTGATGAAGGACATTTTCATAATTCAACTTTGAACTCAAAATCTTTCCACTTATAATAATATATGATGATTATCAATTAATGTTATTAAATAGGATTGTCCGTAATTACCTTTTGAATGACTAGATTATGTAAATAATTCTTAAAACTTCATAGAACTTAAACCCATTTAAATTTAGTGGTCTGCAGAGTGTAGGAATTGGAGTAGAACAATTATGCTTCTAATAAATACTCCCTCTATCTCATATTAGTCAATCATTTTTTTTTTTGAGATGCATATTAAGAAATCATAAATAAAAAGATAATTTTACTAACTCACGACTTCAAAAATTTCTTAGTAATTTTACAAATAAATAAGAAATTTTCAAAAAAAAATAAAAAATTGCAAGGGTAATACAGAAAATTTTTACTTAATACTTTCTTGATTTCATAAGGTGAAGAACTAATATAGACAACTATTTTCAGTAAGATGATCGACTAATATGAAACGATACAAGTAGTAACTAAATGCTTACAAGGGATAAAAAGAAAAAAAGTAAGCTATTCATCTTTCCTTTGTTACTGAAAAGATAAAATAGTAAAACTACAAATGAAAAATAAAAAAATATATTACTCACTCACATCCGTAAGACTTGAGTGAAAAGAAAAAATGGAATATTTGTAAAAAAAGATGTACTTTGTGGTCCTTCCTACAATCTCTTATTAGACTGTCATATAACAAGTTAGGACACACTCTTCACTTTCGATGCCGCACATACACTATTTTTTGGCAAATCCGACACACACCCTTGATTTTTTGAAGAGTCTCAAGCAACATAGATAATATATAGCCTAAAAAACTCTCTCTCCGGTGGCATAAACATTCCAAAAGATGGCTGTAACAAAGTAGAGGCAAGCAGTGAGAGTTAAAAATGCTTGAAAGGATCCAAGCCACTGTACAAAGAACCCTGTTCCAATTGTGCTGATTATAGCTGCCAGTGTTCCTGCTGAATTAGATATCCCTGTTTCACAAGTAGAAGAATTGTTAGCTGCACATAGAGGTCGTTCGTATTACATATACAACGTTTATAATATGGTATAACATCAATAAAACTAATACAGCGTTTGGTTACTGGTATATGGAGTGTAGTACTGGAAACTTAACGTTGTGTTCTAATTTTAGTGTAACTTCTAAAGAAACCTATGTATATTATCAATACGTAGATAAGAGTGTTTAAAGATGAAAATGTTCTTAAATTACGCAATTCATACATGACAGTCCATGTAAAATTATTCACCGCTCTCCTCCTAGTACTCTGTCTTTACTATTTCTACCGCCAGTACTTCCTTTCTTTATTCGAATTTTCATCATAGCTTTTGACTCGTGCATTTCTTTTGAATATGTTTTTCTTGAGCTGAGGAAACAACCTCTCTACCCCACAAAAGAAGGGGTAAGGTCTGCGTATACCCACCCTCCCCAGAACCCATGTTAATATACTGGATATGTTATTGTTGTTGTTTGTATTATTATTCACCGCATAAATAATTCCTGCATTATAATCCCGTTACTACTAGATTGTCAATGGAACGATCCCTTAGAGTAGCAGAAGTAAGATAAGTTAGTACAAATACATACCATGTAGAAATCCAGCATACTGAGGTGCAATATCCTGTCCAGACAGAAAATGCAAGCTAAGTAAATTGACTTTCAAAGTAAAGCATCAATATTGGCTTGTGAGGTTATAGAAGTGTATTCGATTGAGTTATGTTGCCTTACTTGCATATTAAGTAGAAAACCAGCTTGGCTGAAAGCGCTGAAGCTCAGGGCTATAGTTATCAGCACTGATGCAACCTCGGGCGTTTTGGCAAAATTCAAGCAGAGTAAAGCCACCCCGGGTCCAATGAAACCAATAGACTGCAATGTTTAAAACAAAATAGACATGAGAATTTGATAAAAAGTTCAACACAACATGAATAGTAGACTAAGGTTTTGGATTAGCAGTACCCCTTCGAATAGCAGAAAAGAAATATGGATTATCAACGTAATTTTCATATCTATAAATGATAATTGAGGAGAAGAAGTGGGGTGAGATGAAGAACTACTCATGTGTTGTGTAAATTTCATAGATGACTTCCTGTTCATGACTGTTTTCTCAAAGGAGGTGTAATTCTTGCAAAAAAACACCATATCATGATAGGTAGTTATTTCGTGATCTCTATAGACAATGTAAGCTACAATTTTAGTATAATATCACCTGAAAAAGTTAATTCCCCTTGCCCTTTAGCCCAATAGAAAAGGAAAAAGAATCCTGTTTCGAGAAGTCGATAAATTACCTGCATGACTTTCCTGACAAAGGTCAATGAGTACCCTGCTTTGATAAGGAAATCTGATGCAGCTCCGGCAACATAGCCTGAGATTGCCATTGTGCCCCAAGGCACTGCACTGAACCAAGCTGCTTGCTTCAAATTCACATTGAAAACCTAGCAACAGCGGAAACAATTCATTCAAACAGATACCGGGAAGACTTTCAAGGATTTGGCTCTCAGTCTAAAACACTTGGTATATTTGCAACCACAAGTTAAACAATGCAACTTATAACATATTATATAGAGGGAACTTCTTTTAATCTTCTTGCAAGATGAACTCATGCAAGATCTTCTGTGTTGCCAAAGGCATATTAAACAAGGGAGTCATGACTCACCGTTTTGAAATAAACAGGCATCCAGGACAGAAGAACAAAATATCCCTGCAACAAGTTAAAGAGTTTTAAAGGTCATTATACAATCTTCAAAGTTCACATTTTATCACCAAAAGTAATGACAGTTATGTTCTAATATCAATAAAGAACCGAGTCATAGAAAAAGAGGGTACCCAATTATTAGTGACATTAGCGAAGATAATAGCCCAAGTGGGCATTTTTGACAACAGCAGTCGCAGTGGTGGAAGTTCTCCTTTTTTTGAGGAAGGAGAATCTGATTTCCCTGCTTGGATTAACCTCAACTCTGCTTTAGTGATAGAATTGCTTTCTTGTGGATCATTTGTTACCCGGCTAACCCATGTTGTAAGCCAGAGAAGTCCAAGAGAAGCGAAAAGGATGAACGGACCAGATATTCCAATTGAGGTCATAAACAATGGGGTTAGCACCAAACCCACAACATTTCCAAGATGGAAACCACCCATGGATATTCCAATAGCAGTTGCCCGTTCATGGCACGGAAACCACCTGCATAATTGGAAGCACATACAAACTCAGCTACCGTTGAAATTGCAAGAAAAAATTCTCAGTAACATAATCATAGGTTTCTGCAATTTTGGCATTTCAAGCTATAGTCAGCATTTTCAGTATTTATGAGTATTCTCAATTTGCCACAAGTCAAAAATGAGGCGACTTCAAATAACTACTGAAGTTGTTAGGTGTTTAGGCTACAATGAGAAATTCAAATTACCTGGACAAAAGAGTGTTCATGGAAGGCAAAGCTACTCCTTCAGCAAGACCAAAGAAAGCACGAATGGCCAAGAGACTGACTGTGGAGTGATTTGCTGCCCATGGAGTGAGGAGAGTGGCCAGAGACCAAAGAGCTGCACCCCAAGCAATCACTTTCTTTCCTCCATATTTGTCAACTAACGCTCCTCCAATCACCGATGAAAATATGTAACCCCAGAGGAAAGATGACTAGCAAAGCGACAATTATTTCATCATCAGCATCATAGACATAAAAATATATTCAATAAATGCAATGCCTTGTTATAACTCTTTATCGATAATCTTGGCATTTCTAACTATGTATGAACGATGGGCAAATCAACTATATTACTCTATACTGAAGCAGCAGCAGCTGACTAGGATTTAAATTGATACCTGACTACAAGACTGTTACATTACTTGCTGCATCAACTGAAATCACTTATAAATTTTGTTTGGAGCATAAATATTCTTATTTCAAAGATGTGTAATAACAGAAAGCCTCAAGCATGAACCATAACTACATTTGGAATAATTAAAATGTGTCCAGATTATTTTCGCAATCATCTGCACGTCTACAGTGCTACAACTAGAGTTTACAGGTCTGATCAATATTACATTAGCATCCAAAACTTAATGCCTTAATTATGCTAAAGGAATTTTTCGTAAGCTAATAGGATAGACTGTTTTTCTTCCTTTTCTCTTGTTTTTTTCTTGAAATTCTTAAGACTAAATCGATAAACAAAAAATATTTCACTCGTCAGATTGTATAAATTTGACCATAAGATCAACTTAGGACAATCAATTTAAAATAGAGTAAGTAAAACTTTTTTGTGCCTACTTATCTTGTATACTCCACCAAAAAAGAAAAATAAGTTAAAAGTTTCATTTCCAAAGCTACCAGTAGAATAAAAAGCCTCCCTCAAAGAAATGATTGATAAAATTTTTTGGTAATATGTATAAATTAAATGAGAAAAAGACCTACTACAAAAGGAGAGATGGTGCTGAAAATGAAGAAGGTTTGTAGGTGGCTTTCGCTTTCAATTGTTGTTAGATATATATCTTCTACCAACTAATCTAGAAGCAGGAAAATTACTTGGCCTTAAGGTGAGGAGGTTGTGACTTAAGAGAATAAAATATCCATTAGAGCTAACAATTAAAAAAACATTAGTACGTGATTTCTTCCGATTTACCAAAACTTGATAGGTCAAAGTTACTCGGCGCTGTGCTGGTAAAAGATAACAAGTTTCTAGTGAAACAGTCATGCAGATTAGTCTAAATAACTAATTGTTTAAAGAAATAACAGGAAAGTGACATCCCTTTTTGGGAGCAAGGGAAGTGCTTTTAAGTTTTAATAAAGCCAGCAAAGGGACCCAAACAGCAACTAAACTCTTAGAAATACAACAAAAAGGCCAGGATAAAGGTCCCACACAGATCAGAATCCATCCCCATTTTGTGGCTGAATGTGAATTTCTCAGCAGACAGAGCTTGATGACTCAGATATACATTCTTTTTCAGAGTTCATCTCATGTAAAAGTCTCACCGCCTACGAGTTGTGGCATAACTCTATCCACTAATGCTCAAGAAATGGGAAAAATCACCTATCATTTTTTTTAATCTCAACTGGGATTTAAATTATTATTTCCACACGCTTTATTGACCATTACACATAACTTGAATGAAACTTCATCTCCTTAAAAGGAAAAAAAAAACAATTTGCAATCTTCCGCTTGAAAGAGTTAAAAGCTAGCACTTGTTGAGAACCCTGAGTTCTCAGATTCAAAACTCATTATAGACAAAAAAAAAAAACACTAGGTGATTCTTCGCATCTAGCCTTGTTGGACAAAGTCACCTAGTATCTTATGTTGATGGAAGGTGGCAAGTATTCCATGGAATTAGTCAACGCCACTTGGAAGGTGGGGTAAGGCATGGCAAGCTGACCATATCTTAGGCTTTTCTTGCTTTCCATTGGTTGAGTCTTTTATATTAGCAGACTTGGCAGGTAAATAACAGCTACCATTCTGATCAACCACAAAAGCACAAAGACTGGTCCCCCCACCCACTCCACCCCAAAATTAAGAGTGTTATATTGGAATAAACTATAATGAGGAATTGGACTTAATATTATAACAACAACAACATACCGAGTGCGATACCATTGGTACAAGAAGAGGATGTACGCAAAATTTATTTTTATCTTAATGTATAGGTGGAGATGCTGTTTCCGGTAGACTTTCGCAATTCAATATAAGAAACTAAGAGAAGAAACCATTAAATAAGCAAAAGAAGTACCTGAACAATACCCAAAAAAGCACTGCTCCATCCATGTTTAGCAGCTAAAGGAACAATAGCAACAGACATAACAACTCTATCAGCATTACATAAACACATAACACAAGCCATTAAAGCCACAACTTTAAATCTCTCTGCCACCATAAACTCTCTTTCTTCACTTCTTCCACCAACAAGCATTCCCCTCTCTATCCCTTCTGCTGTACACTTCACAGTAAATCCCCCCCTCTGCTTCTTCTCCATAAAAACTTCCTTTTTCAATCTTTGATCTCCACCACCAGAAAGATTCAAACTTTTCCATTTTTTTTGAATTTTTGGCTGAAATCCTAAATGGGTTTTCCTAAAATTGATCAATCCAAAATGGGTATTTGAAAAAGATGAAGAATGTATTTGAATTTTATTGCTAAATCTAACAGCTTCCATTGTGAAGAAGAAGAATCTTGAATAAAGTGGATAAAAGAATGAGTTTTTTTTTTTTGTAGTAATGTAGAAAATTCTATAACAAGCTCTTAATATAAAGCATTTTGAGATTATTAACTATAACAAAGAGTAATGAAATTGGGGTTGTTGAAGAGAATTAATTGAATGCATTTATATAGAGAAATTGATTTTCTGGTGAAAGAAATGAGGAGGAAGAAGAAATTGCGTGCGTGTTGAAAGTTGGTGAGTTTGTATGACTTTTTGCTCTTTGAGGGTATTTTTGTCCATTTAAAAACTTTACCTAACACCTAAAAAAAACATTACTCCGTTCGTCTTAATTCATGTGACACGATTTAAATTACGAATGAAACAAATGAGGTACTATTATTTGTGATGACATTTCGGATCATTTGATTCGTGAGATATGAATAAAGATTTCGAAATATCTTATGATGATAATCTCATCTTATAGTTATGTAATTGATAAGTTAGAAGATTATTTTATTTTGTTATTTTAGTTAATTATTCCTGGGATAAAATAAAATCATGTGATGTTTTAATTCTTGAAATATTCTTATTTATCACGTCTCGTCAATCAAACATACTTATTTTAGTATATATATATATATATATACACATGACATTACTTATATTGAATTATATAAATTTACTACAATGAAGTGATTTAATAAGTTGAGTAATCATGAGTAAATGTAAAAATCTATATGCAAAAACGGTTCATTCATCTATAGAATTGGGGTATACATTGAATGTGTATATCATACACAAAAAGTATTTATATCGGAATATGTGAATTTATAACTTCTAATATTATAGATATATATATAAAAAAAATATTCTCCAATAACAATCTAAAATGTGATATCTCAAAAATATAATATTCACCGTGTATATTTTTATTTTTAATTTCAAGAAAAGCAAACAATGCACCTAATATATATTAACTTTAATTAATTAATGCGCGTGTAACTATTATAAATTAGTTTTAATCTACCACCTTTGTCATTTATAAATAAAGAGTACTATAGTTTGATGTGTGTGTTGGATTTTTTATAAAAATCTTTTTACTATTACGTAAAATATTATAACATTGACTATGCAACACTTCAAAAAATAATTAAATAAAACATTTGGTGACCAAATTATGATTTATATTTTTGTGAGTGAAGTATTTAGGTCGTCACACGTCACATAATTAATATGGAAGCAAGAACTATTATTTACACATATTTTTTAATTTTTTATTTAATTACAGATATTGATTGTGATGGAATTATATTTGTTAATGATGTAGTACATCATAATTGAATTAATTTGATAAAAATCACAATCACATACAAAAATTTCAAATTTTCTTGTGCTCTTTATAAAATAAATCGCTTTCTAAAATCTTAGACAAAATTATTTTCTTTTCATTTATTTTTTGTAAGAAAAAAATATACGTAATTAAATTAGTACAATTATTGATAACATTATAATCAATGTTTCAAGGGCTTTTCGATCGTTCTTGAGAAAAATAAAATAAAGGACAATGCTAAATGATCAACAAATTTGGCTATAAAATTTAAAAAGTCTATAATATCTTTTTTTATTTTAAAATATATTAATCTTTTTAATTTTTTAATTAAAAGATATTAAAGTTAAAAGGATAAAATTATCATTCTGATCAAATTAACTGATCAAAAAGATTTTTCCAAAAATAAATTCACGTGCTTCCAAATTTTTCCTTTCTTTAATTAATTACTTACTAATTATGAAATGCTAAATCTATTTAAGTTCTCTAGATTCACCTAACCTTTCACACCCTGAAAAGGTAGATGGCAAAAGATATTTGAATTTATAATTGGTTGTATAATAACTTCTAATGGCTTTAATTAAAAAAATCTATATGGTAAATTTTAAAATTTGTATAATTGAAATTGACTATGAAAATATAAGGTGACTTACTAGTCGTTTATAAAGTACTAGAATAAAATATGTAGATGATTAGTATTCAAATTTCGATAAATAAATTAAAAGTAATATTAGATGATATTTTTTAATTTAAATTTATACAAGTAGTTGACAAAATGATCTAGCCACGAGAATTATTCACTTTTTTGTAGAGTAATTTTTTATTATTTTACAATCACCTTGATTACAAATTTTTCAAAGTCAAATTCGAGTTGAATATCAAATATGGATTAATGCTTCCGTTCACATTTGGTCATAAACTTTGAAATTTAAAATTAGAGATTTTGAAATTAAAGTACAAATCAAAGTTCTGTTAATCTAGGTGATTTCTTTTCTAGAGTTGATCTAAGTTAATTTTATTGAAAATTTAAAAATATTTAAATAATATGTTTTCAAAGATTCGGTCAAATTGACTAATTTGATGGCTTTTATCGATGTAGTAACAACTTGTGGAATTGCTTTTTTTTTTCGATGTAGTAACAACTTAGTGTTTTTTTTTTTTAATGAAGTAGAGTTGCGTATCAGTCGGTTCGGTTCGATTTTAAAGTTTATCGGGTTGTCTTATTGGTTATCGGTTTGTAGAGATGCTAAACCGCTATAGAATTATTAAGATATTGACTTATCGGTTATTGGTTTATCGGTTCTTCATTGTTATCGATTATCGGTTTAACCGTTAAGATTTGACACAAAAGAAAAAACATTAAAAATTACTTAGAAACAAGGTGACAAACCAAATAAATCATGCACTTGAGTTCACATGTTACATCTTGGTCAAAAACAAGCACTTTTACATTGTTGAATAACCAAGTGTTTGAGACAACAAAAAATAAAAGCAGGAAATCAAACTCTAAGTCGAGAACTTTCTATACAAAATGGTACAAATATAATTATTTAATTAGTATCGGGTTATCGGTTAACTCGTTAAGAAAAAACTTCAAACCGTTAAGAATCGATAATCCGATAAAAAATATCAAAACCGTTATCAAGACCACTAAACCAAAAACCCAATACTATAAACTAATAACTTTTTTATCGGTTTCGATTCAATTTTGAACGGTCTAAAATTCTAAATATGATCCAGTATTAATGATTAACCACTTGCAAAAAATATTTAAAATCTACTTAATTTCAAATATCAGTATCATTAAATATAATAGAATTATTTTTCAAAAGTGGTTGCATGAATTGAACATTGTAAAAGGGTAATATCGTCCATGCAATTTAAGTTTGTTTAGAATTTGAAGTGTGACACGTTGGCAATACGTGGACTTGACTAAGGCCAATAATTTTATTTTTATTTTTAAAAAAGTACTATTTTTGTTTGCTAAAATTTAATGCCAGTCAGGTCAACAGCCAACAAACCCCAACCCAATTGAATTAGTTAAAAATATTTTTTTAAAAGAATCAATGCTTTGTTAACAAATTTGGATCGGTTACCGAGTAAAAATTAAAATTCAATTAATTGTTTTATTATTAAAATCAAAATAAAAATTAAATATAATATATATTTATTAGTTTGTGTTATTCATTTTGGTTATAATCTATATAGAAATTTTTTTTAAAAAATTATTCAAAAGAGGGGAAAAAAGATCGATATTTTTAAAGTGAAAAATAGCTTGAATAATTAACGTAACAGAACTTTCGTTCACTTAATTTACTGTGACTAAAGCTTCGAAATTCATGAAGAGATAATGCATTCGTAGTTTTGTAAAAAAACTATCATAGGCACTCATATACATCAGACATTAAATCATAAGATAAAAAATAACATTTTCTACTTTAATAAATAAATTTTGATGAAGATATATATAAGATATTTAAAATTGTTTACAAAAATAATATATTATGCATATATAATAGTAAAATAAATGTATATAATTTCTCGCTTCAGTTTTGATTCTTTCTGCGATTTTTTTTAAAAATCAAATCAAATACTATATGTTTTTTAAAAATATAAAATCAAATCAATCCAAATCCGAATAAAATTAATTTATTTAATCAATTTGATTCAATATTATTTGGATAAATTTTTATCCGGATAGTAATTGTCCCTTTCGATTTTTCTGGAAAAGAAAAATTCAAACTTTATAAATTCACATATTAAAAGAGATAATAACCAATAAAAAATTGATCATGTTTTTTGTTAGATTGAGACAATATTGACTAAAATCAATTCAATATTTTCATACAATTTCTTTTTCCTTTTTCAATTTATGAATGAAAGGGTCCTTGCCCTTTTGAAAGATAAAAGAGTTATATTATTATAAATAATAATGTACTAAAAAAACTAATTTGATACGATTACGTGAGTAAATATGTCTTCACCCTTTTGAAAGCATGTTATCACTAGTAACGATGATAATATAATAAAATTAATTTGATATGATTGTGTTGTAATTATTTATTTTCCTTCTGAATTTATGAGAGAATGAATCCTCATCCTTTTGTTAGATAGATTATATTACTAGTCAGGCGATCGATCATGATATATAATAAGACTAGTTTGGTAGGATTGTGTCGTTATTATTTATTATTATAAAATAGATTTTATTTTTATTTTTATTTATAATAATTAGTACATATCGTGTACTTTATAGAATTATTTTTTAAAATTGCCAAGGGCAGATCCCTCAACAACCATTTTACGTGGATTATACTTGGAAACTGCCTTCCATGGTCAACAAGTTGAGTCCAAATACTACTTCTTTGGTTTCAAATTGAATAATTTAGTACCAAAATTTTAAAAGTAAATAAAAAATTTAAATCTTATAATTTAAAACTTAAATTTATCAAACATATTAAAATATTTTTTAATATTATAATTTTAAATATGTCACCTAAAAAATCAAAATTTAAAAGTTGCTAATAAAGAAAATAAACATTTGTTTAAAATAAAAACTAAAAAATTAGGTCAAACAAATTGAAGCCAAGAGAATAATAAATTTTTAAGGCTTGTTTGATTAGGACATAAATTATTCGAAAATTAATTATTCCAGAATTGTCATCTTTTTTTAGTGAAACAAAAATAATATCATATTTCTAAATAATTCTTATTTCTGAAGTATTTATCACAATCAAATATAAAATAAACTTATCGTAAAATTAATCCCCAAATTAATAACATGATCTATCAACCCAAGATTACCATGTTTTATGGCCAAAAATAGTGGTGTCATAAAATCTAGTTTATAAGCAAAAAATAGTAGGACCATTCATATATATATGACCAAAAAATAAAAGTAAACAATAAGGAAAATTCATATGTAAGACTAATATTAAAACACTTGTGCTTTTCACATTACAATTTATAGATTTCAACCTTGAATATAAAGTCTAATTCATTGTGCTGTTTAATTAGCTAAAATGTAGCTGTTGAAAGTTGTTGTTGGGCAAGTACTTCTAACTTTTATTTGGCTTGATATATATTTAACCATTTAAATTTATCTCTATATTTTATATATACACTCAAACTAATTCATGTTTCAATTAAATATCTCAACTTTTAATAAAAATTTTTAGTTCAAACTTTAATTTTTATTTTAATATGTGCTAATTTATTTATAATATAGTTTATTTAATCACATAAACTATGTTATTTTCTTTAATTATATGTTTTTCCTCAATAAGACATAAAAATCTAGAATTTTTATTTAAGATTGATGCATATAATTAAAGAAGATGACAATTAACTATCTAATAAACAAACAGATGAAAACATGCATAAAAGATTATTCAATTTTGAATATAAAATGTTTAATGAGAACACATTATTGACAATTAAGATATTCAATTGAAACATAATTTAATTTGAATATCTAAATGAAATATCGTGAGTTTAAGTTTATATTTTATTAAATTTCTAGGTAATGATGGGAGTAAGTAGTAACTTTCTGTCTTTTTTTAAAAAAATCATTTTTCTGTCATCCAAGATTACTTTCTTTTGATATTGCCGGCAATGATTAGTTTAAATAGTTTAATCTAATTATGTTCTCCCAAAAAAATAATGGATCCGGCTCCTCTTCATTTCTTCCAAGTTTTTATTTGTATTAATGACACATGTCATAGGTTAAAATAAATAGTTAAGATTTAATTTTTAAAGTAAACCTTTAATCATGATTTAGTTAATAAATATATTATATATCAAGTATTAAAATTATTATAATATCACAATCTTAGCAATATATTATTTTTTCAATAAATATAGGTAAAAAAAAGTTTTCTTCCTATTATTTCTTTTTACGTAGGATCTTTTTTTTTTCTTTTATATAATATTTTTATCTAATTAAAATAATAATTAATTGAATAGAAGTATGGAAACTATAATTAACCTACCGTATATACTAGTATCACTGTATTCTTAATTTTATTATGAAATTAAAAATAGTTTGTCAAAATAGTTTGATTATCTCTAGATAATTTATTAATCATGGACCAATATACCTTTAACAAAAGATTATAATAAAAAAATTATATATATATATATATATATATATATATAAAAGATCCTACGTAAAAAAAATAATAGGAAGAAAACTTTTTTACATAAATAATATGGACAAAATAATATGTTGCTAAAATTGTGAGATAATAATAATTTTGATACTTGATATATAATATATTTATTAACTAAATCATGATTAGAGGTTTACTTTGAAAAATTAAATCTTAACCATTTATTTTAACCTATTACATGTATCGTTAATCCAAATGAAACTTGGAGAAAATGGAAAGAAGAGAAATGGAACGGACCCGAATCCAAAAATAATAACAATATGTTGACACGTGTCTTAACTAACATTAATGCTGAAAAATATAGACAAATTGCTACCAAGTTGAATTTACTTAACACCAAACAGGAAAATACACACATTTGAATTGACATGTTTAATTGGAGTTTATGTTATGTTATTGATAATATAACAAAGTATTTTCTTAAGTTAAATTATATAAGAGAGAATGACATATAAGTATAATATAGTCTACACAATAGGTCAAAAACTTTGCAAAGTTGTAATTCAAAAACAACTGGTCAATTCAAAGTCAAACTTTGATAACAAAATGCAAGTGGTGCACACCAAGTTTATTTAGGTAGTGAAAATTAGATTTTTTAGATAATTCAATATTATTGAATAAATTTAAATAACTTGATTTAAATTTTAAATATAATTTTGTGATTAATTTTATAGATTGGGTGTTATTTGAGATTGTTAGAAATAGTACAGAGAGTAAAGACAACCTAAATAGTATCTCTTTACTCTCATTTGTATCATACATAAATTTCTCTCTAAAGTCATGTCCTTGATAAGCTGGAGATGCATCATGTCTTATCTAATCACCTTTCTCCAACACCTCTTTGACCTTCCTATGCCTCTGCTATAACCATCTAGTACCAAGCTTTTACATCTCCGTATTGGTGGATCTCCTCTTCACATGTCCAAATTAATCATCTAAGCCTCACTTCCTGCATCTTATTCCTTCATCGAGACCACTTCTATTTTGTCTCAGATATTATAATTTCTAATTTTCTCTCTTATAGTACGTGCCAACACATCTATCTTAACATCCACACATATTCACAACGTTTGACTTCTGAACGTTATTCTTGATCGATTAGTATTCAACTCCATACAATATACTGATCTAATCAAAGCTCGGTAGAACTTGTTGCCTTAAGTTTTGATAACACAGTCTTATCACATAAGACTCCGGAAGCGAGTCTCCATTTCTTCCGCTCTACATCAATGCAATGTGTTATATCCTCGTTAATTTTTCGGAGGATACATAAACACTTTTATAATAATATCATAAACCATTATATAAAAACTATCTTTGTCTTCTTTCTTGAGCCTTCTTCTAAAATTTGACTCAAATCATGAAGTATTGATCTCCACTTGATGTTTCCGATCATGATCAATTGAAACAACATCCAATTCAAATAACTAACAAGCTGAAAAAATAATAATCAAAATCTCAAAAATGAAGCTTCGGACAACCTTAATGGTAGACTTCTATTCTTCAAAATTTTCAATCTATCATACTAAAATTAAAGCAGATTGATTGAAGTTCAGTTAGTCATGTAGATAAATATTTTTATGATTATTAATGATTTGATGAAACTAATAATTCGTTTCAAGTTAAAAAATATTTTCAATTCGAGTTTAAATCTTCAAAGAAACCACAACGTACATGACCTTAACTATAGTATATGAAAACAAATTCAATGATGTTCATACAAGATTCTAGAGTAGGGTCCTTAATTAAGGCTGCAAAATCAAATACGAATCGTATTTTTTGAACAAAAGGACATAAATTTTTCAATTCAAATTAATAGATATATTATGACGCTCTAGCAAGAAATAAAAAAAAAGAATTCAACAAATAAGGAAATTATTTTTGTATCAACCTCATAAACAAATAAAAAATAGTCAATTATCAAATAAATTAAGTTCAGGTACCTTGCTAATCAGATTTTTTCAGGAGGTTAGCATGATTTAATTAGTAGTTGTTGAGTGTTAAACTGTATTACTTACTACTTGGTATTATTATATTATATTATATATATATATACATGTGAGCCACATAAATTTAGAATAATTAACATATGGTTTGTTGAAACCACTCACTAAATAATTCATATGAAAATATAATTCGTCATGTTAAGATATAAAATTTGAGAGAGATACGCAGTACGTGTTGTGTTGGAAAAATCAAAGGTATTAATAGAATCATTTATTTATTGGCAAAATAATAGCAGTGATTACTATGAATACTATGAAAATGGGAAAAAAGTTTAAATATGTGACTAAATTTTTTCGAAAAAAATTTATTTTCGTTATCCATTAAAAGTCAGACTCATATATATGATGCATAATGCTTATTTATGTTATTATTTATTAAAATAATTTAACTTAGCTTATTACTTTTGACATGTGTTCACATCACTAATTAAATCAATTAAATTTTTTAAAAATAATCTAAATTAAAGCATACTGTTTGTTCTAATTAAATTTATCCAATCCACATTCCTTTTTATCCATCCCAACACTTAATCCTTCATTTACTTCTTCACTTGCTCAATCGACGTAAGAGAAGTGTATGTATAGTGTGTGAAGAATTACATTTGGGGCGATCAATAGTTATTCATTTTGTGAGCAAATCGGTGGAGAATATATATATATATATATAAAAAATGAGATTTATATTTAGCATTTTTTGTTCTTGAAAATACTTACGATAAAGTTTTAAAGGAAGCCATTTAAAAATGCCTAAAAGTAATGTGTACTGCTAACTATATGGTGATGTGGAACATCTATGATTGAATTAGGTCTCGAGTTAAAATAGTTGAAAGAAATTAAAAGTATTTTTTCAAGCTAAATGAGTTTGTATGAAAACTTGATGTATGATTGAATTAAGTCTCGAGTTAAAATAATAAAAAGAAATTAAAAGCACTTTTCAATCTAAATAAGTTTGTATGAGAAATTTATGTATGATTGAATTAAGTCTCGAATTAAAATAGTGAAAAGAAATTAAAGAGCACTTTTTAAGCTAAATGAATTTGTATCAGAATTTGATGTATGATTGAATTAAGTCTCGAGTTAAAATAGTGGAAACAAATTAAAAGCACTTTTCAACCTAAATGAATTTGTATCAGAACTTGATGTATGATTGAATTAAATCTCGAGTTAAAATAGTAAAAGAAAATTAAAAGCACTTTTCAAGATAAATGAGTTTGTATTTATCCATTTACATTTGTCTTGGTGATAAATGAATTTGACACAAATTTTTTTTGATAAAGTGTCACAGTGCATGTTATTTATATATAACACGTAGAGACATGCAACTAAATTAGATTAATACCTCATATGGTCACTCAATTATCCATTCTTTCCTCAGAAAGTCACTCAATCTATTAAATTATTTTTTTAAATTAAATTTTGTTGATATTAATTATTTATATAACAAATCAAAATTTTCTAAAAATAAAAATACCATTTAAACCATTTAGTGATCCACCCATGTAACCCGACCCATTAAAAAACATGATATGACCCATTTTATTTGTCTTTAATCCTAATTCAAGGTTTAAAGAGAGGGATTAATTTAGGATTAAAGATAAAATAAAATGGATCATATTATATTTTTTAATGGGTCGGGTTAGGTGGGTGGATCACTAAATGATTTAATTTATTTTTTAAAATTTTTTGGTTTGTTATATAAATAATTAATATCAATAATTTAGTTAAAAAACAATTTAATAGATTGAGTGACTTTCTGATGAAAGAGCGGATAGTTGAGTGACTTTCTGAGGAAATAGTGGATAGTTGAGTGACTTTTGAGTTAAAATTGAAAGTTGAGTGACTTTCTAAGGAAAGAGTGGATAGTTGAGTGACTTTTGAGTTAAAATTGAAAATTGAGTGACTTTCTGAGAAAGAAGTACATAGTTGAGTGACTTTGGAGTGAAAATTGAAAGTTCAGTGACTTTCTGAGAGAAAAGTGCATAGTTGAGTGACCATCTGAGATATTAACTCAACTAAATTAATGTTCGATCGAAGGTGAAGAAAAATTTTGAAGTCTAAAAAATTCATGTTAAGCAGAATCAAAATTGAATATTTAGAGTGCAAATTATGAAAGTGAGGTTGACCCGTACAAATACAATTTTTATAGTTTCTGTTATTATTAAGTTACGAGATTTTCAATTAATATTAATGTTATTAATTAATTACATAATATCCTCTTTCACTTTTATCCTTGAACCTCTTTTTTTTCTTTCTATATTGTTCCCATCAAAATAAACAAATAAAGTTTAGTCAATATTTAACGAAAACTAAAAATATCAAATTTTGATAAATTTAGACCATATTGAATTCATCTCAATTTTACTCTTCGTTATCTATATTTGAAGAGTAAAATAGAGAATGTCCACTCCAATCTCCCTCTATATTACTCTCTATACTTCATTTATAGAGAGGTAAATAGTATTTTCTTCAAATTTGAAGAACTACTATTCACCTCTCTATTTCACTTTTTCATTATTATAATATTATTTTTACTATATTACTATTTAAGTTTTTATCATTTGTAATATTTTCTAATGTGAGATAACATTTAAAATATATAGCCCAAATTAAAACTTTTTCTATTTTATTTTTTAAAAGAAATGGTCAATTTTAATTAAAGTTATTTTAATATTATTTATATTTAGAGCCGTCAAAATGGGTTTGGCCCACGAGGCCGGTCCAACCCAACCCTTGAAATAAATGGGGTTGGGCTTAATATTTTTGGCCATTTATGAACGAGGCTTTTTAGCCCGTCCCATTTGGCCCATTGACCTCGTGCGCCCAATCTGCAAGCATTTGAGATCAGCCCATGGGCTATTATTTTTATATATATTTTTAATAGTGTTTTATTTGTAAATATTTTATAAATAAATATTTAAAAAAATAAAAAATCAAGTATTTTGCAATATCATTTTGCATGGTGAATTGTAGATGAAGATGAACTTCTAAAGGAAATAATATCACATGTTGATTCAAATGTGATCGATGGTGGAAGTAGAAGCGGAGTTGTAAAACATTAATTAATGAGTCATGTAATATTTAGAAATTTAGATTTGTTAAGTGTTTAGGTTGTCTTGTGTTGCTGGATATCTTTTAAACCAGCTAGTTTTTTGTGGAAAAAATGATGTAATGATCAACATTTATCCGCTAAATCTTACGTTGGCTATTATGTATTTTTGTAAGTATTCACCAAAGTTTGTGATTCATAAATGTATTTTTGTAAGTATCCATCCGAAGTGTGTGATTTGTAAATGAATTTTTATATGAATTGATGTCGTGTTCATAGACGTCAACATTCAATACTCTTTCTAAGAGAGTAATAGTATTCATTTTTGGTTGAAGGGCCAACCCGTCCCAACCCGTTGCCCGCCTAGTGCTGGGTTGGGCCGCTATTTTATTGACCCTTTAATAAAAGCGCCAACCCGCCTCAACCCATTTAACTCTCTAGCCCGTTAGGGTTGGGTTGGGCCAGCCCATTTTGACACCTCTATTTATATTACATATAAGATTATTAATTAAGTCTATAATATTTTTTTATTATTCTCTAAGTAATATAATATCTAAACACATATTATTAATAAGTATACTATTTTCATCTCAGATTAATAATTTTTCTAATTTAATATTTATTTTTATTTTCACTTTAAATATGTAATTTAGATTATAATTATTTTTCATTATAATGCATGCACAAAATTTACATGATAATTTAAACAATCTACTTTTATGTTTTGGTGATAAAATATTAAACTACAATTATTAAAGAACATAAAAAATATTTGATGCAACAGTTCAAAATAAAATACGGGAAATAAATTAGTACACGAAATAATTGGATACAATATGAAATTGTTAATGTAAACAATGTTTAGCTATACTTAAAAATATTTATTTTGAACTCCGCAATACATTATTAGAACATTTATGAGAATAATGTAATAATCCTGAAAGTTGAATATTTATGTAAAATTTAAAATAAATTTTACGACAATACAATATTTATGATGAAATTATATTTCATCAATGATTTCACTTTTATATTAATGTTCGTTAATATGTATTATATATAGTATTTATTGTGATTTATGCTATTTAAAAAGTTAGAATAAAATATAATTATATATTAAATGAAAAGTTTGAAAAATCTAAAATTATATATCACATAAAAATTAAGGAGCGATTATTTGCAAATAAATAAATAAATAAATGATCTATATGATGAAATAAAAAATAAAAATATTAATATAATATTAATGTGAGAGAAAAAAATTATTTTATAATAAAGAATTGGATTGAAGTTATTATCTTAACAAAATACAGAACTCTATACTTCGACAGTAAAATTTAGAATATTAACTATTAAGAGGTCATTTCTGTCATTTTATCGGAAAAAAATCAAACATAACGTACGCCATCATTTTTTTATTTGAGCTAATTTCCCGCCCCTTCTCACTCAGCCTTTAAGCTACAGATATCAGTGTATCCCTTTTGATCATTACATCTAGGGTTTACAAAATTGAAGAAGATGAAACGGATTCGCAAGCAGAAGAAGACTGAAATTCCGAAGGTATGATCATTATTGTTACAATGTTATAGCTTTCGAAATCAATATGTATGTGTTTTCTTAGCTTAATGTGTCAGTTTTTGATTTTGTTTTTTGGGCAGCTGATTTTAGAGGAGATAGTCGGTTTCACAACTGAGAATGCGAATGGACTGGCTTCTGGAGTTTCGAATTCGAAATGTGTGTATATTGCAGGCTGTGTTGCGGTGGTTTATGACGTCTATTCATCCACGCAGTCGCATTTAGTTGTGTCCAATCGATTGCCGAAGCCGTTGAGCTGTGTTGCGGTTTCGTGTGACGGACTTTTTATTGCTGCTGGAGAGGTATGGAATCTGTTCTCAACTTGGAGAATTTTCCCTATTTGTGGTTTTGTATGAAACATGAAAGTTTTGAGGAGTTCTCTATTTGTGATTTTGATAGAAACATGAAAATTTGGAGGATTTGTCTACTTGTGCATTTTTTTTGTACTACATTTTGTAGTCTGAAGAGATCAGAATGACGTAGTGATCTAGACGGAAAAAATGTGAGGCTTAAGTAAGCAAATGAGGTTGAACGTCTGCGTTTCTATGTAAGAGTTTAGGTCTAAATGTTGACTTGTGGGAATAATAAAGGTAGGGGGAGGCATAGTTCCGGAGTCGACTTTGCATGAGAGGAATTAGTTCAGTTGAATAGAGTAGAAGTAGTTTTGACTTTTTAATTTTTCTGATATCGCCGTCAGTCAATAATATGTAGCATCAAACATGAAAAATTTATACATTTGTTCTATATTGTCTAGTCTGAAGATTATAATGAGGTAGCTCATGGTCAAGGAAGGTATACTGTACCAGTCATTGGATAGTCAAAGCATGATCTTTCAAGAGATTTCACAATGATGAGTCAGTGCCATAAGGATTAATTTCATGGTTTTATAATTAGCCTTCTTTTTGAAAAACAAAAAGGATTAACTTCATGGCGGTTGGCACTGACACTGATGGCGATGAGGTGTTGAAGGTTTAAGTGGGTCCATATCCTTGCTGTATAGTTCAAATGCATGTCAATTAGGCTTATAAGGTCCTTACTTGATTTTATAAGGATGTCACATCATGGGCTTATGCTGATTCTTTGAGAAACAGAACAACAACTTATTGGCTCAATACAAGATTATGATGTTGCTCTTGATGGGCTTAGATTTTTTGATTTTTTTTTGATGAGCTTAGATTTGTACCCACTAAAGCAGTCTTTTATTTTGCACCAGTAATTCACCTTGCAGTGCTCCCTTGAGAATAGAGTCCGGTCTCTGTGCTGTTTCTTGAGGATGTTGCTCCAGCTTAGGTAGTCGTAGGCTCATAGCTAAGAGTTTTTTTAATCCTTTAATGCACCAATATGGTGAAATAGGAATCATTGTGTAGAGATAAGAGGGTTGGATTGGCTATATTCACCTTTGTACCGCTTCTCCAGATTGTCTTTTCAGCTTCAACAATATGTCTCCTCTGCTTGTTTTGAAGATACAGGTTGCACTTCACTAAATGTTAAATCAAATTGTATTCTTCTTTGAGTTTTTTGGTATAAGTCTGAATACACGGGTAGTCATGACTCAACCTTAGATGTGTTAGAACCATTGTAAGAAGAACAAGGCTGATGTAACTATCCATTTTGGTCCAGCAGAATATGTGCTGATGTTTATATACACACAAATATGTTATCTTTTCAGAAAAAAATATTTCTGCTTCTATGGCTTGTTAAAGCTGCAACATGGATAAAATTAGCTGTCCTGCTCAAACTAATTAGCTATATGCTTGCATAACTGTCTTTCATTTTAGTGATAAGACCTACTTGTATATGTATAATAGCAGTAAAAGATACATACAGATGCACATATAAAGAGTGCTCTGTTCAAATGGTGTGACTAGCTTTGTTATTTTTACTTTTGTAAAGTTAGTTTTTGCACTTACTAATGGGTCAATATTTCAGTCAGGACCTCATCCTGCTGTAGTGATATGGGAAGCAGCAAGTTTGGCCATGAAATACGAATTGAAGAGTCATCAACACGGCATAGCATGCATTGCCTTTTCACCTGATGGTTTGTTGTAATTAGTCATTGCTCTTTATCTAAGCAACTAGTTTTCTTTGAGATACATGAAATGGGACATAAACCTCGGTGTGTTATTCTTCTTTCCCGTTTTCTTGATTATATTACTACCTGCAGGCAAACACCTTGCTTCTGTTGGATATCCTCATGATGGATATATTTGCCTCTGGGATTTTCAAAATCAGACTTTAATTACAAAATGCAAGGGGTGCACACCAAGTTCCGCAATTGCATCTGTTAGCTTCTCATCAGATGGAAGATTCTTTAGCACCGCAGGAAAGAAGCACCTGAAGTTCTGGAAATTGGGATTTTCTACCAGATCTCGTATGATAGGTAGAACAGCATCAGGTGCAATTGGAAAACAAGCTAATCTTGGTCATTATAAAGGATGCTCTTTCATAGCTGTTGCGTCTCCTATGTGGAGTCAGAGTAGTCTCCTTGATCATATTCAAACTGGTGAAGATTCGCATGTTTATGCACTGACAGATGCAGGTTACAAGTTTAACATACATCTGTTATCTTTATGTTGTTGCATGTCCCTGAGCACTTTAATTTCTTCTTTTGTTAATAGGGGTTTTGTGCCATCTTAACTCAGAGATGACTATTGCAAATTCTGTTGAATTACAGGTATATATTGTTACGTCTTGCATATTAACACTCAATTACACTGAAGAAAGCTTTGAAAGAAATCCTGTACTTCCTGAAATTTTCTGATATTAAAGTGCTATAAACTGGTATGTACTACCTTTTCAAAAATAAGTAGGCCCTCTAGTCTTCTCATCATTTTTGTACTTGGGACTTCAGGTTGAGAAAGGCTTTGGACTATCTGTATCCAGAAAGTTGGTTGCTTGCGCATGCAATAATGGACAAGTCAAACTTCTTTTTGCGAACTCTCTTGCATATGCTGGAAGCTTATGCTATCCTGAAACCAGACACAGTAAAGGAAGTGTTGCAGACTGCCATGTAGTGATTGGAAAAAATGGACATGAGCAGTTGCAGAGTCTACCTAATGCAATTGCTTGTCAATTTTCAACATTGCAAAAACTTGGTAAGTAACTAGTTATTTTCAGTAGAAGGAATACATTCATATGTTCATTAATTGTGATGGTAACTTCTCCCTTGCAGTTGTGATATATGATGACCACAGCCTTTTCATATGGGATGTTCAGGATGTTGACAAGGTGTTTCTCTGAAACTCTTAGTTCTTTCCTAACCTTGACTTTCTTATTTCCTTTAATTTGACATAAGCCATGATGGATCATGCTCTTTTGGGATTGAAGTCAACTTCGCGATTATGTGGCATATGTAAGACTGATAATCATGATAGCCCCGTGATATATTTTCCAGGCCAGCAGGTGCTCTGTGCTAGTTTCACATAGTGCTTGCATATGGAACATCAAGAATTTCTCATGCGAACACATGCATGACCCCTCCAAAGCATGCGTTGCTAAAGGATGTTCTGGTGGAGTTTCCTTTGCAACATGCTCTGCTGATGGCAGTATCAGGTTGTGGGATCTTGAACTACAATCTAGTAGCTTGCCTCTTCCAACAGAAGACAAATCTATGAGTACCCTTTCAGCAGGTTCTACGCATTTAGGTGTGTCATCTTTCCTCAAGATACCAAAAAGTGCTCTTTCTATACTTGAAGAATCTTTGCTTAAGTTTGTCTCAAATATATTAGCAAAGATCAAGTATAAAGTAATATAGTACGTTATAAAAAAGAGTTCGCCTCAAATATCTCTATTATAATATGCCATTCATGTTGTTAATACTCTGTTTTTTTTTGTATATAAACAGAGAGGACTGGTGTTTTTGAACGTGATTCTCTGGTATCAGGCTTTGCCTCTACTGGTTATCGTTCAATGGCAGTCAGTTCAGATGGAATGTATCTAGGAGCTGGTGATTTCCTTGGAAACCTTCATTTATTCAATCTACACACAACTGATTATATGTGCATCCAGGTAAACCTGTATAGCTTTAGGGTGCAATTAACTGAAGTGGTTTGCTTCTTCTAGTGAGCTGATCGGCTGTAGTTGATTTGATTGAAATTGTATCTTGCTTATAATTCTTTTCCATTTGTATACTCCATGGCCATGTACACCAAATTACACCTGCTACTTACATTTGTAGGGTGCTCATGATGGCGAAATTCTATCACTGAGTTTCAGTTCGCAAAGCATTGATGCTCCTGCTGATACATTTCCACACAGCCATTATGTTCTTGCCTCAGGGGGAAAGGATGGCATGATTCATCTCTATGATGTTCAAAGGTTTGCCTTTGGTCTTGAGTTTGTTCAACAAGTTAAATAGTCATTTATAACTAACTTGACTAACTCCCATTTCAGGAACTTTGACCTCATCGGAAGTTTTCGTGATCATTCTGCTCCTGTGACCTGCGTCAAATGTGCTTGCAGTGGCACTAAGATTATAAGTTGTAACGCGGATAGGTTAGAGTAGACTTTGAAAGCAATTAGTAAATTTTGATGAAATTGATATGTTGAAGCATAAGCATCTTGACACATATACTCTTCTCCTCTACACCCATAAGCTTCTTAACATTTAACATGATTTTGTAGCTTATGCTTGAGGAATGACTTAATTTTTGTACATTGCACGGCTTCACTTTTTAGGACAAAAATCATTCTATGCAGCTGCTTCTGCATGATATGTCATGCCCCTTTACTCTTGTGTTTGCCTGACAGGTCTCTGGTTTTTTGTGATGTTTCTATGATCGATTCAGCATACAAAATATCTTGCTATCATAGAGTCTTACCGGGAGTTGTATATGACATGGCAGTTGATGGTTCCACTGAGATTGCTGTCACTGTGGGGCAGGTAAATTTTGAATTGCAGTGCTTGCTCGCGTTATTCTTTCTGAAAGAAAAAATTCAGATAGATAATGATTAAATAAGGCTGTTGTTATTTCTTCTAGCGATAGCATGTCAGAACATTTAATAACTCAGACTATGTCAAATTGTAGACTTAAGAATGTTTTTTGTCTTAGGATAAGAAGATTAACACATTCAGCATTCCTTCTGGGAAGTTAATCAGGTCATTTAAGCATATTGGAGGGGATCCTGTAAAGGTACATAAATACTGACAAACCATTGAATAGGTATCATCGAGTTGATTTTATGTTAGACCTACATCACCTTTTACAGGTATCTGTGGATCCCAGCTCTAGTTATCTGGTTTGCTCAGACTCTTTTAAGATTCTCTGCTTATATGACATTATGGCTGGGGATATGGTCGCACAAGCAGTGGGGCATGGTGATGTTATAACTGGTGTCATCTTTTTACCTGACTGCAAGCATCTCGTTTCTGTGAGTACATCCTATGGACATTTTCCTGATTTAGTGGTCTGCTATCTGAACTATGATCTTTCTAATTAGGAGTTTCAGAGTTGGTTCCTATCAGGCAACCAGTATAGTGAGAACTAACCTATAATGAACTCCAAACTTGGACAAAACTTAGAAGACTCTTCTATTTCCAAGTTAGCTCTTGCTTCCTTGTTTATTTATCTGGGTGACTCAAATATAGATTGGCATGAGGAAAACATGTAAAGGATTTAGAATAGAATGAACCTTAATATATAAACTAGAACAAGTAAAAGTAGTCTCTCTCCATGTGTCCTTAAGTCCATGCTAATGATGGTAATGGTTGGAAGAATATTCCAAAGTCCATGATGGCTACCTTGGGTGCCATCACTACGAGGGAGTGGTGCAAAACATTTGAATTCATGTTACTACAACTTAATGAAACATGCTAAATCTGCTACAAACTTTCCCTATCTACAATGATTTGCTCTATATTTCCTGTTTTAAACTAGTTTATTTAGCTTTTCCCCCAATCTTAACATTGATTTCTGGTGAGTTCAGGTAAGTAGTGATGGTTGTATCTTTGTTTGGAAAGTCCCTGGTTATTTATCATTAAGGATGCTGAGGAAAATTAAGGAAAATGCTTGTCCGCTATCCCCAGAAAAATTTGCTGCTCCGGAAACTTCAGGTCAAATCAAACTTCATGTGGTTAATCATCATCAACCAGAAGGCATATCTATGACCCCAAAACTCTTCCAAGTAAATCAGAGAGTACTCTGTCGAGAAATGAGTTCACCAGCGACAGCATTTAAATTCAGTATTTCAAGACTCCCAAAGTGGGCACAAGCTAAAGTTACTAACCTTCATTCCTTGATGACTGACCCTAATTCTTCATCCTCCAAGGTATCTCAAGATATAGTAGTAAAACTGCTAATTGCTTGTCATAACTTTTGACTGTAGATACGTTACGGTATCATGTTCTTTTCCATATATTTATTTTCTTTTATGTCAATAAGGATAATTTGTGTATCATGCAGAATGTTTGTCCATTTTAACAATTTCAGATAACTTCTTTGTTATTTTCCCTTTATTCTTCAACGTGCCAATAAATGTTATTATTTCCTTTGATTTTGTTGTACACAATAGACATTGTGGCTCATCCAAAGCTAACTGAGGAAACATGTAGGACCCAACAGTCAAAGGATCCTTGTCCAGTTCGTGCAGGCAATACTATGTGCAATTGCCTTGCTTTCACTGAGATGTTTTCTGTACCTTTGCAGACTGGAAAAACTGGATCAACCGGTACGCAGAGACCAGCTTGTGAAACTGTCCATGTGTATGAAGAGGCACTACATAATTTGGATGCTGCTGCTGAGAAAGCAATGCAGTTATTTTCTAAATTAGCAAATCAGCATGCGAGAATAGAGAAATCAAGGGAGCATGAAAATCAGTTATTGGCCAAGGCAGCAGAAATGCTTGTGCCAATAGCAAATAAAATCCATGCTACTGCCAAATTGGCACAATCCGCCAACACTGGTTCGAATGGGAATGCCAAAATGGATATTTCAACCAATGAAATTTGAGGTTATTACAAAAACTGATCCACATCAACTAGTCAAGCTGAAGGGTTGCCACTAGCTTGTTTTACTAAGGTAATATGACTTGATCCTTCTTCCCTGCAGTGACAAAGATCTATTTCCTTACCGACGATTTCTAACATTTAAACAGCAACTATGCTAACATTCGAACGAGTTAGTCTCTCTATTCCATTTTATGTGACACTCTTTCTTTTCTAGTCAGTTCCAAACGAATGACATAGTCCTATATTAAAAACAATTCAACTTTAAACTTCCTATTTTCTAACCACAAAAAATGTATGGCCGGTTAATAACACAAATTTCAAGTCTGTCTTTCTTTGTCAATTTCGTGCCCAAACAAATAGGTTCACAAAATTTGCATTGAGCTAATCCTTCTCTCTCAAGTTGAAAATGTAATTTGATTTGAATATATGCTTGGTGCTAGCATCACTTATGAAACTCGTACTTGGTACCAGAGCGGGATAATGGAAACCCTTGAATTAGCATGTAGCACAATACTTATTTTTTAGATATGAAAGAACAAATGCTATTAGTTGATTGTATACGAAGTTTTTACTTAGCATACCATGTACCACTTCATATAATGTGCTTTTCCATCTAAATATCAGCACTTTTGGAAGCTTGACCGTTTGTTCATGCTACATGAACTACACAGAACACTTGGCCTTGCTTTCAGATTTGGAGAACACAAACCCATCTCAAGGTGGCATTGCTTCTCATGGCTGTCTTAACACAGGAAAAATCTATTTTGTGCTATAGATGGCATTTATGCGGTAACTGTCAGCCAGCCACTTCTTTACATATTGCAATGTGACTGCTCAACTTTGGGAAATATTTTGAACATGCTGGTTTGAAGTGGGTAAAGCCTAAGACTACAACCAAATTACTTCTCTGCTGGAATAAAAACAAAGAGGAAGTGAGGAACCTAAGATGTTTCAAAGATAGCAAGTTCTACTCAACAGATCAAATACAAGATTAGGTAGGTACATCATATTCTCCTCTGATCCCATTTAAATCACATGTATGTTATTGTTGTTCACTTGTACATAAAGTGTCAAAATTAACCCAAAACCACCCCTTCGACTCGCCCAAACCTATCCTATATTTGAAGGGTTGGGCAATGGAATAAAATTCTGATGGGTTGATTTTGGACAACTCGTGAAATGAAGTAGCCCGAGTTCAACCCATCAATGTGTGCAAAACCCAACCTGTCAATAAGTATTCTCCACGTTGAAGCATTTCCAGTTTCGTGTTGCATATAATATATTATGGTTTGTTCAGTTAGTCCTGTCCAATTTAATCCATTCTGATTACTGAGTTTCTTCCCCTTGTATTTCTGGTTGTTAATTCATCTTCTGTTTCATGTATTCTAATTTGGTTTTCGATATTATTTTGTTTATCCAATTTAATGCTTTAAAATTTATGGGTTTAATTTGTTTCTAAAAGCTAAGTGCATCAAGTTCTTCACCAACTACATTAGGCTAACAGTGTCTTATAGTATTTGCATGAATACTTATTGATTGTCAGTAATGTGGTGAGAATTATAAGATATATACATATATAAGTTTGTATAAATTTATAACTTGTTTTGAGAATATTTGATCCATGTTAGCAGTCTATTGTACTGCTTGAACTAAGTATTGAGAATGGGCATTGTGGGACATGCTTGAGAATTTTTTTTGGGAACAAATTAATCCCAACTCTTTTAAAAATATCAAATACTTTTGAAAAGTATAATTGAGAATCCATTCCAAGAGTGTCAAAAATAGAACTGGAGTGAAGTTTCATTAAGCTGATGGTTAAATTGTAAAGTACAGTTTGGACTATCTCTATTTTGTTAAATTATAGCTTATCTAATATTTTGATCTGACATTGCTTCACATGCAGATAAATTTTCATTAATATTTTTTCAAATTTGGAAATTGTTCGAAGGAATTTGAAAATGGTATTTTTTCAAATTTGGAAATTGTTCGAAGGAATTTGAAAATGGTATGTAGTAAAACCTCTATAAATTAATAATTTCTCTAAAATAATTTTTTTTTTTCGATTTTGACTTGGTTTATCACCAATTTTGATAAGATAATATATTTCAGAAAATCTCTATATAAATATATGATTCCATTGATATCATAAATTAATAATTTTTGAAAGTAGAAATATATCTAAAAACAATATAGTGAAATATAATTCTATTGTATTCTGTTTATTTTTTAAATTTAAATTTAAATCTAGTTGAAGCTCATATATAAGTTTTCTTATTGCATCCTCGAGCTCTGGTGTTGTCTTTTCGAACTGCGCCATAAAATTGTGAAGAGTTCTAGAATCTAGATGTAATAAGTGTTTCCTTATGCGTAACTGGTTTCGAAGGTATAATATCATCTTCAGCTTCATCATCAACATTGGCTTTTTAGATGGTATCCACAACTTTTTCTAAGCTCTGGACTTCTAAACATGTATTACTCTAACCTCGATAATTCAACATGTTATTGTCATTCATTTTATTGTGGTAACCGAGATCATTAATCATGACCGCAAATTCATTCAAATTTTCTAAGATTGCATCCTCCTAATAAATTTTACAGTGTCAAAAATAATTTGTTATCGTCTCTTGCTGAACATTTGTCGTCCAGACAGGGATTATAAAATTGATAGCATCCAAATATTGATCTATGCTTTATCAGTTTGTCCTGCTTCATAGTCTTCTGATTCTTACGATAATGATTTTGATGTATTTGTTGTACCTTGTGTGTAATATTTTTATGTGAAATCAACAAATATGATACATAAATTAGTAAAATACAATAATTTTGATATACAAAAAATTAACCTTCATCAAATCTCAAATCATTCTTTAAATTAATAAATATTAATTTATCGAGTTTATAATATCTCTATAAAACAATAAAATTTTATGATCTCACCTATATTAATTTATAGAGATTTTATAATATCTTTTTCTTTTCTTTAATATTTTCATTTTTTTTTTGGGGGGGGGGGGGTCAATTAGCTGGCCCAATTATTCCTAAAATGGGGCACTGAAAGTGAGCTCTAATCAATAGCCAAAAATCAAATCAAAAGTGGGCTTTAATTTTGTCTAAACTCTGAAGTAAAGTGCATGTAAAACCCAGCCTGGAAAGTGACTTATTGGGTCCATTCTCTTATCCAACAGAAAAATATGGAAATGACTGCCAATAAAGTTGACAATGAATTCATATTTGAAACTCATAAATCAAGATATCTTTACACAAATAATTATTCGAATTCACGTTTATTTTTCATAGCCGATATACATAGATTATATATCGAATATACAAAGAATTTACATATACTATACATAGAGTATATATCGAATATACAAGAATTTAAAAATATACTATATTATTCTATCTGTGCTATTTTATGTGACACTCTTTCTCTTTAGTCTGTTCAAAAAGACAACTTACGATAAATAAAAATAATTTAAATTTAAATTTTTTTGTACCCTAAATAAAATGATTTTCAAACATACAATAACCAATATCTAAGGATTGTTTTAGATTATAAGTTTTAAAACTTTTTTCCCCTTAAACATCATGCCAAGTCAAACGATGTCATAATATAGAAAAAGAGCGCATATTCACTAGCTATTCTTAGTTTAAGTGGTTGAGTATTCACAGATATTCAGGTAAATTCTTCATAAAAAATTTGAAAAACTGACGTAATTTCAAACTAGTTGAGATTGACTATGTAAAATCTACATATTCATTTGCTTGATTTGAAATCATTTTTTAGAAAAAAAATTAATAAAAATCCATCTTTGGAAAAGGGGAAAAAATTCAAAAGGAAAGAATTAAAAACTGTGTTTTTCTGTTTAAAAACATATCCTTTTGATCCATAACTCACTGATCTTTCCACTTTAGCATAAGAAAGAAAACAATAAAAGTAAGAAAAAGCATTGTTCTCTAATTGCTTCACACTTCAAAAAGGAAAAAAGAAAAACATTTCTTGCTGATGATTTTCATGCAATTTTAAATGTTAAAGAAACCACAACAAAAGCCCTTTATCTTGTTAATTTCAAAATATGTCAGTATAAATAATTAATAATATGTGAATATCCAACAACAAAAAAATAATCATTTTTTGTAATCAACCAAAGATCCATTGTTGGAATAATTGTAAATCCCTAAGAAGGTATGCCTAGAAATTACTCTTTGAATTCTTTTTGTGACTTTTGTCTGGCTTTAGTAACATGCCAAACTCTAAATTCTTTCTTGGGATTCCTTCACTCTATAGGTATAAAGACATCATTTTACTTGGGTCTATAAAGCTATCATTAGAATCCCTACTAATAGTGTAATTGTAAGGCCTAATAATATCTAATTAATTAACCTAAGACTACTAAATCCAACATCATTAACCAAGAATGTGTGAAATCTTTATAATCTTGGCTAATCCAAGATTTGGGTGTGTTTGATAATTGATACAAACAAAAGTAATATTTTTCTCGAAAATGAATGGTTTTCAACTTATTTTCCGGTGTTCGATTAATAAGCGGAAAAATATTATCTCTAAAATATTTATATGTAATCTAATAAAACACAATAAGGATGGGACGAAGTGGGGGTTGGGATGGTTTTTGAAAAGAAGACAATAAATTTGAAATGTCACTTATGAAATTTATTTTTCTTACTTTTATTAGAGAAATCATTTTCCTTCTTTTTAATGAACTTATTTTCTTAAAAAGAAAATATTGTCAACCCGTCTAACACAGAAAAAGATTAGAAACATACCAAACGCAAGGAATCATGTTTTCTTGGTTTTTGGTTTTACTATTTCTCCCATTTCATATTACTTGATCCTTATTGACCTGACACACTCCTTAAGAAATTTTACTAAATTAACCTTATTAATAATGTTTTAAAAATCTAAATTCAAACAACCAGATACTTTACATAGTCATTTAATGATAGTGATAGTATTGACAAAAAATTGATAAACTTCTGTTGATTTTCTGAAATGAAGAGGTAAAATAATAAAACACCTATTTTTTTAAAACTACTAATTGTCTAAGCCTACTAAACTACAAACTTATATCTAACATCCTTAACCATAAATGTGTGAAATCATTAATATTGTCTAATCCAAGATTTAGGATCATGTTTTATTGGTTTTTGAGATTTATTGGTAGTGTGTCTTACTACTATCCTTACAAGAAATGAATTGTTTTTTACCATGTTTAGTATAGAAAGTAGCAAACCTCTTGTATGAATCAAAAACAAATTGATGCTTGTTGATGACCCAATGACACAATATATATATTCATAAGAGTATTATTTTGGTCCTTGTCCCAAGAAAGTCACTCATTTTGATTTGAGATCACCATGGCTTAAAAAAGCTGTGTTTGTGCCACATGCAAAGGGACACACCACTCAGTTTCAAGATTTGCAAAGAGTATATATGTGTGTAAATGTGCACTTAGCAGAGGCTAGGGGGCCATTCTTTTGAATAGTAGTATGTGAACACCTATCATATTTATTTTGATTGATACTTAAATTTTATTATATCGTATTGTTTAAATTTATTGTTGAATGACAATAAAAAAATCTATTTTATATAACAATTGATTTAATGTGATCGCATTGTTATCTTAATATTTTCTTCTTATTTTGTCTTTAATCATTATTTCATCTTTTATTGAACCTTTTTCCAGAGTAGTCCTGTCTCTTGCCTATTTTTCTTGTAGGTGTATCATTCAAATTATAGATGTGTGACATTATGTAACGACGAAAAACGATACAATTTATCTAAACATTTTATTTATTAAAACAATACAATACAATATAATATAACATAATACAATACATTATGAATCAATACGTAACAACCATAGAACAAAAGTGAAAATGTACACTAAGCATAGGCTAGGGGGCATTCTTTTGAATAAAAGTACGTGAACACATGTCTCTGTTTTGGGGGGAAAAAATATATACACTAATATTCTCACGATCGATTAGTCAAAAACAAATTTCTTAAAAATTAGAAAATAATTTCTCTCGTGAAAGTAGGGAAAAACTCCACCCCGGTCCTCATACCCCTCCATCACATCCATATCGATATAATTTTGTCGAAATTATATATAAATACTTTTAGAATAATATTTTAAATTAACTTACGTCTTATCCTGAGAAATACTTAAGAAAACCACTTGGGGAACATTTTTTTTTTTGGCAGCAAAAATAGGTTTAATATTATTTGAACATCTGAAAAATTGGTTATTGTGAAAGAGGTTCGCATTAAACATATGAAGGGGCTATATATGATCCCTCACCCCTCACCTCCCCTTGTTATTCGATACTTGTATCAAAATAAAATTTTTCAACTAAATATATTATTATTATTATCAGTGTTTCA